CCCTCCCCTGCCCGACACAGATGGGAAGACGGGATCGCAGAGCCCCGTGGGACCATCACTTGGAAACGCGGTGGGTCGTGGGTGCAAGAAAAGGCCTTTCTGTGCGTTCCCGCAAGTGGGGGAAGAGCCATGGAGGTGGAATGACCTGCCCAAGGTCACGCAGCCGGTCGGTAGTAAAGCTGGGATTGGCACTGGGAAACGCCTGCTTCCTAATCCCCTCTGCCCCCGGTACGCCCAGGGCAGGCAGGTAAAGGGGCAGGCAGGGTGCGGGAAGGCCGGTACGTGCCGATGGCCTGGTCTTGGGGAGGGCAGCCTGGAGCCCAGCGCCAGGGCTGCCTGGCGCGGCGAGCACCAGTCCCTCGTGTCCCTGAACACCCCCACTCTGAGCTACCCACTGGATCCTCGTTTAGGGTTTTATTTTTTTGGACTGGTCAAGGTCCAGGCTGGTTCTCAGGGCTCCCAGGCCGTAACACAATCCCTTGCTTTGGCTTGTAAAGCGATCGCCGCAGGGTTGGGGAAGGAATTTTTCCCCCCCCCGACGTACAGGCAGCCCCGCGCCGTCGACTCGTGCATCAATACACTCTGAGCTACCCACTGGATCCTCGTTTAGGGTTTTATTTTTTTGGACTGGTCAAGGTCCAGGCTGGTTCTCAGGGCTCCCAGGCCGTAACACAATCCCTTGCTTTGGCTTGTAAAGCGATCGCCGCAGGGTTGGGGAAGGAATTTTTCCCCCCCCCGACGTACAGGCAGCCCCGCGCCGTCGACTCGTGCATCAATAATAAATGCCGAGATCTCGCGTAGCTTTTATCTGGGAAAAGCTGCACAAACATTAACTAATCCTCGGCGTCCCCCGGCGCTGGGTAACTTCTGTGGCTGAGCGAGGGACGAGGGAGGCTGCCGAGGGAAGCGGGAACGGTGCTGAGGACTGTTCTCGTTCTCTGAGGATTGGCCAGGGCAGGGAGGGTCGGAGGTCCGTGTGATTTTTGAGAAGTGGGACCAGAGGGGACCCGTCCAGCCACGTGTCTGCAGAGCAAGCTCCGTCCCTGGGTATGAAGACTGCCGGGTGCCAGGCCACCACTCCACTCCCGGGCTTCTCTTAGACACCAGGAGAGAAACTTTCTACCCTAATATTGCTGCTGGTGACGTGAACCCTTGTGCTGTCTTTCCCGGGAAGGCCTGGAGTAAACAGTTGTCCTTCCTTTCACAACCAGAGTTTTTTTTTTTAAAGAACAGTGAGAGGTTTTTCTTGCTTAGAAGCATGCTGGCAGAGCCAGTGACGCATGGTCAGTCTGAAGCCTGGTAGTCAAAGCCACTAGGAAAACTCATGGCCTTACATCTGAAGGAGGATCAGGGCTTCACTGGAGGATGGTAGGAGGAGGGAGAGGTGCTTTTCTCTGCTCCAGGACAAGAAAATAATGTTTTCTCGTCCCAAAACTGCCGGGAAGAAGTAGTTGGGTCATGGCTCACGGAATTGGAGCAGCGTGTCTCCCAGGCCGTTGCGTTTGGATTGTTGGCCAGTGTCACCCAGGTGCTGGAATCGGTTTATTAATGTGGCTGAAGCAATCATCCAAATCAAACAAAGGTATCTTTTCCCTCCAGACAGAAGGGTTGCTTTCTAACCCACCCACCCCAGGCCTTCACTGGCTTAACCCACAGATGTTCTGCTTTCTAGCAAATAATAGAGTTTAAAATGGAGATTATTTCAGTTTCGGTACAGCAGTTAGCAGATACTTAGCACTCACTTAAGAGGGATTCTGCCAAAGCCATTGTTCTGTGATGAGATGATCCGGGCTGGATGCAAGTTCCTCCACTCCAGCAGATCTCTCCTCTCTAACCCCAGCAATTTGGGAGGAGCGGGTAGAGGTGCAGACCCTCGGTAGGCTCTCGGGTGTGTTTCCCAAATCCAGCCCTTGGTCATGTTCAAGTCAAGTCCCCGGACTTGGCTTTTCCCGCTCTGGGTAAGCAGTTGCTGAAGACAGTTGCCCTGGCGATGGGGAACCGGCGCGGATAGAAATGGCGTGTCTGTAATGTCTGCGACTCACATGTGGCTGGGTCAGTGGCTGCTGCTGGCACGGCGCCTTCCCGGGGAAGCCAGGGGAGCCGCATGTGCTTGGTTACCCTGTGGGAATCAGGGGGAGCTAAGGAAAGCTGTTGCATCGCTCTCTTTGCCCCCACATCATTCTCAGGCTCTCCTCAGGTCACACCTGTCCTGTTCCTGCTCTCAGAGCCTATTCCAAATTGTCCTCCTGACTTTTGTAGCCACCTACTTGGCAGGGAGTTGCAGAGGGGCTTTTCCTGTATCCCTCCCTTGACTTTGTTTGACTGCCATGAAGCAGGCTGTGGTGTTTGCAAGCACTGAGCCCCCCTTCACTCGCTGGAAAGCGTTCAGACCTCAGGTTGGTGTTTAGAAGGCGGAACGGGGATTTGTCCTCTGCACCTCTGCCAGCAGGGCAAAGGCTAAGCCACCCCGCGACCTGCTAATGAGCCCTTTTCTCTTCCAGGAAGGCACTTTTTCTCCCCTCTCCTTTTGCATCTGTGGTGAAGATTTGCCCTTGTAGGTTTTGACATCTAGAAGAAGACTTCCTCCAGTCCCCTCTTCTCCTGCAGCCCCAGGAAGCGGGTGCTCCTGCAGGTTTGTCCTGCTGCCAGGCAGGCCAAGAGAAAGTGGCAGCAACACCTCAGTGTGTGCTGTTCTTCTCAGGCAGTTGGAGTTAAATTGGATTTCAGTCCTGTGGACCATCAGCTGCCTGTTGGGAGCTGCTGGCTGGGCTTGCGTTTTGGGGTTTTTTTTTTTTTTTTTTTTTTTTTTAAATAATTTGATAAGCTTCAATCGATAGAAGCAGCGGGGAGGAGATGGAGGAATTTGCCCGTTCATCTGGGGAACATGTGCTTTGACAAATGCTTAGGCTGGAAAAAAGGGAGAGCTGGGGGGCTGCAGAGCCAACTGGGGCAGGTGGTTCCAACCAGAACCCTGCAGCACACCGTGCCCTGCAGCCGCTGTCGTAGGTAGCACATCTTGGCGCTGAGCTGGCTTTTGTTTAGCTGCTGAGTCTCAGCACCTTGGTTGGAAATAGTGCAGTTGTAGCTAGCCAGAGGAATGAACAACCAAAGGTAACACTTCCCAAGTTCTAAGAGCTTGTACGCCATATGGCTTCCCTTCTGCAGCTGGTGAGTGCTCCAGGTTGTCTCTGTGCTGTTTGTAGTAGCAGTGGAAATACCATGATGTTTGTCTCTCCTGTTGTCTTGAGGCATGCCTGGTGGTAGCATCATCGGAGCTTCTGGAGCATGAGCCTGCTTTCTTCCAAGCTGGTGGAATCTCTCTGCAACTGCTTGGATGAGAAAAGTCCGATCCCTCAGAACAGGCCGTTGGTGCAGAGGAAGTTCTGCATGTGCCAGTGGTGATGAGGCAAACAGATTTGTTCAAGCTCTGCTTGAACTGGTCGCTCTCATGTCTGTGGTTTGTGCCTGAACCACAGGTAAAGCCTAGAGCTGCTCAAGCCCTGCCATGGGCTAGTGTGTGAGGTCCCTCTGCCTCTGAGCTGGCCTGGCCATTGTTAGCCCCTGGAAATATCGCTAGAGACTCTGCAGAACGTCAGGGCCTCCCTTCTGGTGAGGTTTGTACAAAAAAATCAGCCTTCAGCTGCGTGTGAATCAGCGATGTGGTGGCTCGGCAGTAGCTTTTCTGGACTGGAAAAGAAACTCGGGGAGGAGTTGGGGGTATAAGATCTGATGGATTAGGTAGGAGTCGGGGTGTTAGTTGGGGGAGTGTGTGGATGGTACCTGCATCTCCCCGTGTTCATCTGGAAAATGCTTTAGGTTGGAGACGTCATAGGATCACAGAATGGTTTGGGTTGGAAGGGACCTCAAAGACCATCCAGTTCCAACCCCCCTGACATGGGCAGGGACACCTTCCACTACACCAGGTTGCCCAAAGCCTCATCCAGCCTGGCCTTGAACACTTCCAGGGATGGAAGGGGCATCCACAACTTCTCTGGGCAACCTGTGCCAGTGTTTCACCACTCCAAGTGAAGAATTTCTTCAGGTGTTCTCATGGGCAATGATTTAGGGTTTTCCTTGCCAAGTTATCTCTTACCTTGTGCTTTGGGTTTGTTCTCTGGGCAAGAAATCTCTGGGTAGACCCTTGATATTGTTATGGGTGTTTTGTTCCAGCATTTACCCCTGCACCCATCGTCAGGATGCGGCCAGGCCTGGCAGTGAGTGAGAAGTTCATGCCGGGACAAAGCAGAACAAGCGTGACACAACAAAATAATGTCATTCTTCCATTTTTCTGCCGGGTGCCTGTGCAAACCCCTTTGCTGGAGGGCTGTGCAGAGATGCCATCTCCATATTTGATGTGGTGACAGGCTGGGTTTTTCCACACCAGCGTGGCCCTGGGGCAGACTGGTGGGTCCCCATTAGGGCCTCGGACAGGGCTACTGGGGCTGTTGCTTTGGTGCTGCCCACATGCATCTGGGACCACGAACTCTGCCCAGCGCTGCGCTGGAAAGCGGGTTCCTGCCTGGGGAGTGAGAATGAGTGGTCAGGCTGCCATCTCGAGCTGGAGGACGCAGGCCTGGAAGCAGACCTTTTGCTGATGTTCAGGGTGTCGCTGAGGACGCACCGAGTCGAATGTTAATGTGGGTGATGTTAACGAATTCGCTGGAGCTTGACGCAGAGGTTCCTGGAACATAATAGAGCATCATTATAAGCCCTTTCACATCACGCTGTCTTGTTCTGCGCTGCCTCGGAGGACCGGGGGGATGGACATCACCCCATGTTTGAACTGCTCCGGTCTTAGGCTCTTAACTCTCCTCTCACAGCAGTAAATCTGTCTTCGAGAGGTGTGTGCTTCTCGGTGAGTGGGTGGGTTATCTAACCAGCTAAAGGAAACCCGGTCCTGTCCCCAGAGAGGGCTGCCTGTGCGTGTTCTGCTCTGAGCGTCCCGAATAACCCGCAAGCCGATGACCTGGGCTGTGCTCCTGGAGGGCTGGCTGACAGCCGGATGGCAGCAGCTTCGTGATAAACCCTCGCGAGGAGAGCGGGCTCAGTGATTCCTGTTTCAGGTTAAACTAGCGTGGGCGTGCGTTAGCTTCGTGTGGCCTGAGCCCCTGAGTCCCTCCAAAGGCTGCGTGTCCTCGTTTCAGGAGGCTCTGAAGGCGTTTAACTTCTCTTTTCCCCGTGTTGGACTCTAGAAGACTCTTCTGTGAACGATCTCCAAGCAGCAGGTAGAGGGCAGGCCCACCTCTCGGACCTGCTCGTTAGCACCCACGTGAGTGATGAGATACGCTCCTGGCAGGGTAGCTTGTTTGTCACAGCTGGTGTGATGGCCGCTCGCCACGGACCTGCCACCATCTCACGTGTTGCACCAGACCCCGGGGGTTGTGTTGAACAACTGAAGCAGCCGCAAGAAAAACACTCCTGCGTGTTGCAGGTCGCTGGGGCCCTCGCTGGCCGTGGCTTTCCTTCCTGCCTGCTGGAAACGTGGAGTGGGTGAAGTCCCTTCATAGAGCAGAACGCTCCTGCCGAGAGCAGCTCCCACTGCCTTGCCTCCTGCGCCCCGTGGCAGGGAGCTGTAGGAGCGTGGCGTGGTTTGCAGGTCTGAATTTGGAGTGTTGTGTTGGGGTCAGGCTGTGCTGGGGGTGGTGTTTGTACCGCTGCTGACGTGATGCCACGTGGTGGGCAGCGGCAAGGGCTGAGGCAGCAGCGTCTGTGCCCAGGTGAGAGGAGGGAGACACTTGGCTCTTACTGCTGCTGCACCTCCTCCTCGACTAAGGAATCTTCTCCTGGACTCTGTACGTGTCCGTGTCTGGGTGTGCCGTGCATCCCAGCCATGAGAGATGGCATTTCTTGGGGACACGTGTGAGAAGGTGCTTTGGAGCAACGTGCTGATTTTTTTCCCTATTGCCCTCTAATTTCTTGATAAGTGAATTGGCTGAATTTATGCACCATAAACTCATTTTCTACATGGCTTATTTTACCATGTTGTGGCAGGTGGCAGTTTCCTCTGGTATGTGCTAAAAAAACTGTGTCAAAAAAAAAAAAAGCCCTGACTGTCCTCATTCTTCCTTCCTGTAAGTCTAGCTCCTGTGTCCCTGGGCAGTAGTGTTTGGAGGAGAAATTCCTGGTGGAAGTTAGGAAATGACTGGCCAAAATGAGTCGTTGAGGCTGGCAACCACTTTCTGCTTCTGCCTGTCATCTTTTTCACAGTGGCTTTTTCTTTTTTTTTTGTCAGTGGATATGCAGCCGATGAAATTACACACTGTATTCGACCACAGGACATCAAGGAGAGAAGAGCTGTCATCATCCTTCGAAAGTAAGTGTTGAAGCCCTCCGGACAGTAAGATAAACTTGGATGTGATGGTGTGATGTTTCCTAAGGTTCTTTTAAAGAAACATTTTAAAACTGCCTTGCTTGTTAATTTGCTGTCTTGGTCTTACATCTTAATTAGATGTCACTCTGATGCTCGCTTGCGTCTTGTCGTGCCCGCCGCTTGGCTGGTGGAAGTAGGTGGAACTCGTTATTGCAGAGTTAATCACTTCGTGGCTCTGTGCAGCAGTACTTCATCGTGATGTCTAGGTTTGCAGGCGCTGTTGGCATACAGACACCCGGCTTGCTTTGGCTGCCGAACTCCCAACAGCTAGGATTTCAGACTCTCCTGGTTTAGGCTGTGTGTTCAGGTGTCTGATCAGGAGGTACCCTCGCGCGTGAGTTACCTAGATGGTCCTTTGAAGCAGATGCTTATGATGAAGAATCTCCTTTAAGGCAGGTAAAGTTTTCCTGGTAGCATGGCTTTCATTTCCCAGGGAGAGGGAGTAAGACGCTGGCTTCGAAGGGAAGTGGATGCAGTGAATTTAGTGACCGCTTTACTGAGCCTGTCCTTCGAGTTGGTGTTGGGAAGCCAAGCTTTGTAAGGTGTCGCACACTTCCTGTTTTAAAAGACATGCTGTCGTGGTCAGCTGATGGCATTTCATCAGCCAGTGTCGGTTCCTAAACTCTTTAGATAAGAAAATGGAAAAAAACCCAACCACCCCAAACCAACTCCGCTCCAAACTTCTCAGTATAACCTTTTTTTTGTGCCCAGAAATGTCCTCTCTCATCAGTTCCTTCTACTAGGCCAAAAAATGTGACTGCCACATGTTGACCTGTGTTGATTGTGCCTTACAAGGTGTTAGCAGTAATTCCACTGTCAAGAAATCTTTTTGCAAGTGAAAACACACATGATTTGAGTACTGTAAACCCAGCTGAAAGTGTGGGCATGAGGGCAGGGCTGCAGTCGTGGCCCAGACTGGCATAAAGCTAGCAGGCAAGTGGTCTAGATTCAGACTTGCTGAGCCTTTGGACAACTTAGTTGGTTTCAAAACAAGTCTGGCAGCGTCGTGAAGGTTGTGGCACAAAGCCAGCGGAGTGGAGTTGGACATCTGGTTAGAGAGACCCATGAAAGGAAGTCAGAAAAAACAGCAGCCCTGAGGCGTTAGCCAGGCAAAATCAGCACAGACCCAAGGAGGCAGATGAGATGTGGCAGGTGATAGTGGGATGAAAGAAAGAGATTAGAACCAAACCACCCGATAGTTGGTTGCTGCCACGTGAGGTTTAAGGCAAGAGGGTGAGGTGGTTGTGATAAGAAGTAAAAGGCTGTTTAACGTTCATGTTACTGGTTACTGCAGGCAACGAAAAGCAGTGGGAGTGCTGACGAGCGCCAGCGGAAGACATCTCCAAATTCTGTAGCTGCTCTACAGTATTTGAGCTTTGGGATGGAGAAGCTGCCTGTTGTAGGCTGTGGAGCAGTTCTCTAGGAAAGCCGGACTCAGCTAAATAACCTAAAGCTGACCAAACTGGTGGAGATACCTACCATATGTGTTCAACTGGCTCTCCCTCTTGCTTTCACCAGCCTCTGTAAGCTAAGGGTGTGGAATTATTTCAGACCAGCCTGGCTGCCCTCAAAGGGCGAGCACTCATCTGGCCGAGATGCACCCAGCTGACCCAGTGCGTCGCTGCTGAACAGACAATACCCGTTAGCTCCTAGCAGAGCCATGTTGGCTGTTTCCTTAGCCACCCTTCTGTAGCAGCATGTCCTTCTGCCTTCCCCTCATTTTAGGGGCCTGACTTGCTTCGCGTTAGAGCAGAAGTGTCTCTGCCCGGTCATACGCAGACGACGACGGGCCGACTTGACTGGCAGGCTGAATGAAACCACAACAGGGTGTTGGTTTTGGGTTTTTTTTTTCCCTCTTGAGCAAAGTGGAAACCCCCTGGTAATTATTTTTGTGTAATCTCCGTAGAGCTCAGCAGCCCTGGTGAATACATGGCAATTGCCTTTTTGCCAAAGGGTGCGCTCCGACGGCTGCCAAATAGAGCCTGTTAATTGCTGCTTATCCCTCGTGACGGGGCCGCCTCCTCGCCGGGTCCCGCGTGCACGCATGCATGCACAGCAGGGCTGCAGTGACCTTTGTGCTCCCATCCCCGCGGCGTGCGTTGCTGCAGGGAACGCCGTTCCCGAGTCCCGGATCATGCGATTTGGTGCAGTCTGAAATGGCGTGTTATGCAACCAGGAAAACAGCAACTTCCGCTGGTAGCCTGCTAGCACGCAGCCAGCGGCCTCGTAAAACTCTTCTTCCTCGTCGTTGTGGTAAGAAGCAGCCTCAAGGTTTCCAGTGGGATCGAATCAGTTGGCTCGTAGAGCGGCATAAACTTTGCTGCAGCTGGGAGCTGGGATGTTCAGCTCCGAAGAGGCTGTCGGAGCCTGCTGCGTCCCAGGCATCGGAGTCTGGATCTGCTCTTGCCTCGACTCCGGGCGCATGGCTCTAGAGGTGGTTTTTGCTGGCAGCAGGAGGAGAACAAAGCTGGAGAGGTGGCTGGGTTCTGCAGGATGTTTGAGAGCGGTGTGGTTACCAAGTAGGTCATAAACACTTCGCCGCTGTAGTGTGATGATATTTACAGCGTTTCCTGCGTATCGGAGCGCAGGGCTGCGGGGAGCCGGCAAGGTTGGGAAGCGCTTCGAGCAGGAGGCTGGGGGAGAGGAATGGTGCTATCAATTTCATGAGATGTGGAATGAGGTAACGTGGGAGGTGGGGATAGAAATGAGACCTATTCAAGCGGGTCTTGAAAGTCATCTCAAAGGGCTTCCGCTGCCCTTTGTAAGCAGTGGCATTGGGGAGCTATTCTGCTTAACCTGAACTTTAGCAGGTCGTTTGCTCTCCATTTTATTATAGCCTCTCCTTGGACCTGCTCCTGCAGCTCATACCTGCCTCACTCTGCGGACACGGAGAGCGTGGCTGGTGCTCTCTTGCCCTCGCAGTGTACTTGGTGGTTGGTTGGTTTTAATTGCAGGCCTGTAGCTGCTGTTACATTTGAGAGGTATTTAAACTACCTAACTTGTCCAGGGCAGGATCTGCAATGCCTTTGGTGTTGTAGCTGGACTGGGTCCAGTCCTGGAGCTGAGAACAGCTCGGGATGACGGCGCTGTGGAGCGCAGGCTCCAGCCTGGCAGCTGCCTGTGGAAGTGTTCCTTGTTTCTGGCATGCTGGGTGTATTTGGGGTGCTGTGCCCAGCTTTGTGTGTGCCAGCCTGGCATTGACCTGGTTAACTGAAGAGGCTCTCCCTGGTGTTGGAAAGGAAGCTTGGCAACTGGATGTGCTTCCTAATGGGAGTTTAGGTTGGGATTCTCCTGTGGTGTCGTGGTTTAACTCTGGCTGGCAACTAAACACCACACAGCCGCTTGCTCACCCTCCTCTGGTGGGATGGGGGAGAGAATCAGGAGGGTAAAAGTGAGAAAACTCGTGGGTTGAGATGAAGACAATTTAATAAGTAAAGCAAAATCCGCACACACAAGCAAAGCAAAACAACGAATGAATCCACTCCTTCCCATCGGCAGGCAGGTGTTCAGCTATCTCCAGGAAAGCAAGGCTCCACCACACGTAATGGTTACTTGGGAAGACAAATGTCATCACTCTGAGTGTCCTCCCCTTCTCCTCCCGGTTTTATGTGCTGAACATGACGTCATATGGTGTGGAGTATCCCTTAGGTCAGCTGTCCCAGCTGGGTCCCCTCCTGACTTCTAGTGCACCGCCAGCCTCCTTGCTGGTGGGGTGGGGCGAGAAGCAGAAAAGGCCCTGACTCTGTATATGCACTGCTCAGCAATAGTGAAGACATCCCGGTGTTACCAACACTCTTCTCAGCACAAATCCAAACCATTGCCCCCTAGTAGCTACTGAGAAGAAAATTAGCTCTGTCCCAGCCAAAACCAGCACATGTGGAAACCTCTGCCAGGAGCTAAAGTTCAGCACTAGAGAGCATGAAGTGATTCTCCCCTTGCTTTCACCCAGACCCCTTCCATATTCACCCCTAATCCCAAGGAGGAAGACAAGCTACAGCAACAATGTCAGGGTGCCTTTCCTTCCGGGAAGCAGCTTGAATCCTCCTGAAATTGGCAGCTCTGGTGCACTGGCACCACCTTTTAGTGTGTTTTGCTCGTTCTTAGACTTCAGTCTGTGTTTTGAAACAGACTCCAGCGGCGCTTGTAAGTTGAGGCTGGTGACTGTGCTGTGCTTGGAGACGGTGATGGTGCTGTGATAAGATGCTGAGCCGTCAAATTTTCATCCCTGCTGCTCTGCCTGTTGCCTCCCTCCACGTGTGCACGGCTGCAGTTGTGCCTGGGCCAGCGGCAGCGACAGCTCTGCCCTGGGACGAGCTGTGCTTGCTCTCTGGTGTAGCTTGAGCGTGTGCTGCGCTGCTTGGAGGGATGCGGTTCAACTTGTGTTTGCCAGACCTTCTCCTCACTCGTACTTCAGCTCTTTAAACCTCTTACTCAAGCTGAGAAGTGTCTGACCCCACGAGATCTTGAGGCAGTAGGGAGTTTCCAGATAGAGGCAGTTATTACTGTTCTAGGTGATGATGAATTTTGCAGGGCATCTCCCAGGTGGCTTAACTGGAGCTGCAAGTTATTGACGAGTCACTGTGATTTCACAGGGGCTCCAGCGCCTCTACTCTGTGTCCCATAACTGGGATTGCACCGATCCCAGCACCATTCGCGTTCACCTCGTGACTACACGTGTCCCTAAGCCTTCCTCTTCCCTCTAACCAAGACAGCAAAGGCTAAAGCTGAAGCTGCAGGTACCAGAAAGCTGCACCTTGTTTTGCTGTGGGATGTAGTAGTCCTGACCCTCTTCCTGAGCTGGAGGCTGAGATTGAGGGTTGTGCTTCAGCCCATCCAGGACAAATGTCTGCTGCGGCACGCTGGCGCTTCTGTGGAAACTCCTTGCAAATTCTCTTCTCTTTAAATATTTGCAGAACAAGACTAGATGCACCTCGATTGGAAACAAAATCCCTGAGTAGCTCTGTGTTGCCACCAGGTTATAACTCTGACCGTCTATCTGGAAGCAACCGGGACCAGATCCTGAAACCAAAGCGGTCCCATCGCAAAGCAGATCCCGATGCTGCTCACAGGTAGGATGACCTCTCCTAAGAGTGACGTTTTGGATGGTGTCTCTAGGTCAGTGCGTGTCTGAGGTTCCTCCTGCCCTCCGACAAGAGAGACTGCACAGCACACTTGGAAACATCCCAGTTTACACCTTCCAGGTGCTTTCTGTGGTGTACACATGTGTTTTATCAGAATGAGGTTCGTTAGACGTTCCTCCTGGGCTTGCGGAGGCTAAGCCCTGGCTGTAAGCAGCTTACATTGTTTATCCTGTGAGTGGCATAATGAAGAAGCAATAGATTTGGCTGGCTCTTGATAGTGCAGTCATTCAGAACAATAGTTTCCCTGCAGCTAATTATTTTTGACCTCTATTGCCAAGCAACCTGTGCAGCTGCGTTAAACTATATTATGAAAGCAGTCTTGGGAGAGAACGTGGGGTTTTGCTATCTGGAAAAGGTGGTGGCCTTCTTGGGAAGCTTTTCCGACCTGTTTTGGTTCCAGAGCTGTGTGTGTATGTTTTTTGTGTGTGTAACCAGACGGTGTGAACGCGTAAGCCTGACCTTCAGGGAAGCTCCTTGCTGAGGTTTCAGCCAGCTTGAGCTTTGCAGCAAAGCTTCTCTCAAATATCACTTTGCTCTATGTGAATGTACTGATAGTCGTGAGAGAGAGCCAGTCTGCCGGCTGTCGTGCGATATTCCTGCTATTCTCCAATTCCAGAGCTTCCCGAGGATCAAGCTGATGTTCTCGGTGCATCGTGTAAAAACCCAAAAGTTGGCTTGGTCCCGGGGCTTGGCTGCTGTGCAGTCCCAGCCCGTGTTTCAACCTGTTGTGGAGGGAGGAGGGTGGGGATGGCTTGTTTGTGAGCGGTGTTCGTTCACCTGCACTCGGGCTGGGAGACAGACCGAGCAGCTCTCCTGCAGACGAAGGCTTGCCTCCGAGCACGCAGTGGCCAGCGAGTGACTGGGGAGGTGATCATGCAGGACAAATCCACAGAGGTGTGAGAGCTGGTTTTCAGCCCAATGTGACCTTGCCAGGGTGGGGGGTGCTTGCACAGACCCCTGCAGCAGATGGGTATCACAAACACGTTTTTCTTTTCCTCAAAGACTGCAGTAGAACTTAGATAACACAGATAGCAGATAGCGGTATTCCTAAGAGGAGCTCGGCAGCTGCCACCTAGGATAAAATAAATGGTCTGTGCACCCAGCCAGCCCAGTTCTACTATGAAATAATCCCAGGGGAGAGCAGGGGCAGCTTTGGAGAAATAACAATTGCACTGTGCTAACATTTGAGAGACCTAGTGAGAGGACAAAGGGGCTCGGGTTTGATCCTGCACCACAAGCACCCCGGCAGCTTAAAAAGGAGCTCAACTCTGTGCTGCGAGTCCTGTTGTAGGAGAGACGGAGCTGCCTGCCCAAGGGATGTTTCTTGGGGCCACAAGCTGCCCTTCAAAAGAGGTGACTGGGCTGTTTGGAAGTGTTGCTGGTGGAGGTAAAGACCAAAACTTGCCCCGAAAAGGGGTAAGACTTTGCACCATCGAAAGCAAAGTTCTCAGCCTCTCCATGGGAGGTGCACATTGATGTGTTCCTGCTCTGCTGAGTGCCCAGTACTGGGAAAGCAACGTGGAAACAGTCAGTCATATCACTCAAAGTATGCAAAACTGCAGATAGTGTCCGCACAAGGAATGCCTAAATCCCGTTGTGGATGCGCTCTCACTCCCTCTTTTCTCTCTTGCCGTAGGCCACGGATTCTGGAAATGGATAAAGAGGAGAACAGGCGCTCAGTCCTCTTACCAAAACATAGGAGACGGAGCAACTTCAGCTCTGAGAACTATTGGCGAAGGTCTTACGAGTACACGGAGGACTGTGACGAGGAAGAGGAGGATGGCAGCCCAGCCAGGAAAGTGAAAATGAGGCGACACTGAGGATTGCACTTTCCAAGCTCATGGAGCTGATGAGATTGGCCTCTAGTCTGTGAAAACTTTCTCCTCCCTCTGGCTATCTTCCATCTAGCTTCAGTTTTGGTTTTTCCTTTCAGGCTGAAGAGTAAACAGGAAGGATCTAGCGATTTGGTTTTATGAATGGAGGAATGCTGAGACATACGTAAGGATGGAACATGTCCAGTGCACATGGTGTCCTGAGTCATGGCTCAAACGGGCATCTCTCCCTTAGGAAGCAGATAAAGTTATGCCGGGCTGTCTGTTGGGATTTCTTTTGAAAACACCAAAAAGTTTAACTGTTTCATTGCGCAAGATTCAAGAATTGTATTTTTGTTTTTTTGCTTTAACTTTCTTCCTTTCCAAATGTTCTAAATATGATGTTTGACCCCAGGAGCTGAAACTCTCTGTGGTGGCCATGTTTTCCTTGCTTCACCAAAGGGCTCCTTGGTCTGCTCTTACCTAGTTGTTGTTGTTGGGTTGTGTTTTAAGGGTGCCCTGCAGTAACTGGAAGTTTGAAGCTTTGCAGACACCTCTTACTGCGATTGATTTCAAAGGGTTTAGGACATTTTTGTTGCACTTTAGTACTAGTTTTAAATGCCGTAGGTTTCCTTTCCAGTCCCTTTTCCCAAGCCAGTGTGGGCTCACAGCCTTGTGTCCTTGTGCTGCCCTCTCCGAGAAGAATGTATTGAGCTCTGGTTTCTCAGTGCTGGTCCGACTGGGGATACGCTTTGGTTGAGGAGGAAGGAGACACGACTGGCTTCACTGAGGCTGGTCTGGTGCTGGCCCGAGGTCCATATTGGAGCCCCGGGGCTGCCAAGTGAGTGATCGCATTGAGCCCATGCTGCTTCCCAGAGCTGGAGATAGCAAAGAGGAGCAGGACAGACACTGTGCTTGTGAGGACACTTGCCTTGGGGACCCTCTGAGTTGTTCTCCGCTGCCTGGGGGACTGGCTTTTGGCCACGGAGAGAGTTGAGACGGCACAGCATCCCATCCCGAGGGACCGGCTGCGCTCTGCCAGAGCAGGAACAGGCGTTGCTGTAGCCCTGGGGGAGCTGGGCAGCTCGGCTGCGGTGCGTCCCCTCCGAGGCTGGCTCTGGGAGTGAGGACGCTGAAAGGGTCTAGCGTGGCCCCAGTTCAGTGCGCTCAGCACTAGTGCTGCCGCCGTTGCCCGCCTCCTCCGGGCTTATTCCTTCCTGTGTTCCTGGGGTAGGGAGTTTTCTAGTCGCTACAGAAAATGTTAAGAACTGGGCATTTGGCCCCATGGAGTCAGCGTTAGAAAGTCTGCCACCTTCCTCCTCCTCTCCCACCTGCTTTTTGTTAGCCCAGACTGAAGCCTCGGCGTTTTCCAAGTTGGGGGCCCAACACCATATTTAGAACTGTACTTTTAAGAAACTTCCTCCAATTGATTCTTTGAACCCAAGTGTTGGCAGTTGTAAGGAGTAGTCTTATTTTTAAATTTTTACTGCTTTGCCCTCCCTCAAATTGTAGTTTTTCTTAGTGTTGTGTCCCCCACACACTTATGGTCTGCACGCTTGGCAATAAAAAGATGTAATATATTTTGAAACCTGTTTGCTGCTGTCTTGAGGGGCTCCCAGTCAAAAAAAACAACAAACCCACCCAAAAAAACAACAAACCCCAGGC